AACCAACCAGAAATATTAGTTCAAACTTGGAAGTGCAAAGCATAAATTTGAAGTGCATTCTAAAATACCAGCTTAATAAATCATAGTTTAATTTTTTTTTGAGAAACATACTAACAAAGTGCCTGATTGGTAAGAAAGTGATTACAAGATAGATTCTTCCTTAGATAAGATTTTAATAAAGAAGACAAGAATTACGATTGCTTTATTTTTAGATTTGTTGATAAGTATATACACAAAAGTGCATATATGTTACCATAAATGTAAATAAACTTATCTGGAAATGGGCGGGGCACTTGGCAAGAGGAACAGAAAAGTGGAGCAAGAAAGTATTAAACTGGTGCCCAAGGCACATTAAACTGAAAAGACAATTTAGATGGTGGATTGACCAAATTAAGGCTACAGCAGGTACATGGCAAAGAGTGATAGAGTTCAGACAGGAATGGCGGGATTTGGAAGAGGCCTTTGGCAAAAAAAGGTACACCTCACTCTTCTTGACTTCTCTAGAGCTTTTGAATGTATCAATCTTCCTCTTCTTATTTCTAAGCTTCGTTACTATGGGTTTGACTATATATCCGCTTCGTGGTTTAGTAGTTATCTCAGGCATCGATATCAGAGAGTGTGTTTTTTGGGAAGTGATGGGATCCGTGTTTCATCGTCTCTGGGCCCTGTCGACAGAGGAGTACCTCAGGGGTCTATTTTGGGACCCCTCTTATTTATCTTATATTCTGCAGACATAACTTCATGTATCCAAAATTGTCACTACCATCTATACGCTGATGATCTGCAAATATATCTTCCTGTTGATAGGGCTTGTGTCAGTGACTGCGTCCGAAAAATAAATGAGGACTTGGAACGAATTTCTGTTTGGTCCCATAAAAACGCACTCCTCTTAAATCCAACGAAGTCGAAATTTCTTATGGTCGGCACCAGGAAGCAAGTGTCTGATCTCGCAAGACAAAGTCCCACAATTCTAGTTAACTCTTCGCCTATAGCTCAGGTACCAATGGCAAGAAATCTGGGCGTAGAATTCGATAGTCATTTGAGGTTCGAAGATTATGTTACAAATATAGTTCGTAACTGCTTTTTCCGTCTCAAGGTTCTATACAATATACGACCTTTCTTAAGTATCGACCTTCGTATTAGACTTTGTGAAAGCATTGTGCTCTCCAAACTTACCTACGCTCTTCCGGTGTATGGGCCTTGTATAACTGCTAAAGCACAACGGTTGATCCAGAGAGTACAAAATGCATGCGCCCGGTTTTGTATCACCATACCACCTCGCTCACATGTCACCCCCTATTTGAACAACTTAAATTTTCTAACAATGGGGGGTCGACAAAAATTGTATTTGGCTTGTTTATTATTTGACGTGGTATGTACTAAACAACCGGAATATTTATACAAAAAGCTCCTCTGGCGTAGTAATGCCAACAAGCACAAAGTCAGGAGCTGTACTCAGGAGCTGGCCATTCCCGAGCATCGGACGGCTTCATTTCGTGGGAGTTTTAAATATAGCGCGACGAAGTGCTGGAACAATATCCCTCCTCCGTTGAAGGGTCTTCAATTAAAGTCGAATTTTAGTCGCACTTATAAGACACTTCTACTTATTCAACAAAAGTCCCACGAAATGTAGTTTTTATCCACCCATAAAACAAACAAATATCTACTTATTTACAATTATTCTTATTTTTAACTTTTAATTTAATTCTATTCATTATACACCGTTACACACAATTTACTCACACTTCTAACTCTAATATTATTATTATTATTTTTCTACTTGGTATTATAATTATTTATTTTATTTTATTAGAGGCGCAAACTAGCTGCTATGGTCTCTGGCAGAACGACCAGCGCTGTGGAACTTTTTGCTCCTCAGCATAATGCTGAGCCAGGGCCAATTGCAACCACAGTACACACACATTGCACACTGGAAGCGAACCGAATGGCAAAAGAAAATTAAATTTCTTAATTTTAATTTTTAATTTTATTCTATTTTATTTTATGTTTTCTTTAAGTATTGTTATTTTGTGTGTTTATGTGTGTGTTTTTTGTTTGTAATAAATGTTATGTCTATGTCTATGTCTATGTCTAGATACCTAAAAAGAATGAGTTAGAATTGTAAATTAGTTCATGTGTGTATATCTGAAATAAAAGGCTTTTATTATTATTTATAAACATTATTATTATTTATAGATTTATTTTGTTTATTTATTAAAATGTAATTTAACATGGCACCACTACCAACTACTAAGTACAATAAAAATGTATCTAATTAAGCTTAAGCAACAAAAACAATAAATTTATATTTTATAATAATAATAAATATTAATATAATTTTAATTTTACGTCGCAAAATGCAATTTTAATATTCATCGTTGGAAATCTCGTTACTTAAAATCGCTTATTTTAAAATTCACAAAGAATAATATTTAATTACTGAAGGCTATCGAAGTCTAGTGATATGCACGCGAAAATTGTTTATAATCCGCGGGTTCCAGTATTGGAGATACGAATCGTAATTTGTACGTGTATCTCTATAGTATACGCTGGGAAAAATATTAGGTTACAAAATGTAAATCGTGTGTGTTTGTTAAAAATTAAACTATGCAATAAATTTGTAAGCTTTTCAACGTTTACTCCCCAATTAAATATATAAATACAAGATCATAGACAACAGTGTAAAGAAACATAAAAACTCACGGACAAAATGGTCCCCCTCCTTCGCTCTAAAGTTGGTTAAAATAAAACATTCAAAAAACGTAAAACTTATCACAAGTATCGGCAATTAAAGTAATTTATACCCTAAAATTTATTTAAACAAAAATGTTTAACATGAAACGTTGTTTTGACTTTTATATTCTGAAAGAAAAATATTATCTCACGAAAGCACTTCATAAGCGAATAGCCCGAAGGGATGCTCAAATCTGCGTATTTATTTATACAGTTTGTATTATATATGTTTAATATTCAAATGGTAATTTAGTATGTATGAAAGTAGTTCAGGTATATTTTTGGTTTTTAATCTTCAATTAATTTAAGTATCAAACAAAAGAGCAACAGAGTTCAACGTGCGACTATCAGTCTGGGGTCGTATGTTTGATGCCCGGCTGTGCACCAATAGACTTTCTGTCTATGTGCAATAACACTCGTTCGTATGAAGGAAAAGATCGAGAGTAAGCCGGCATGCCGGAGACCCAAAAAGTCGTCGGTGTGTAGGGTTCAGACGGTTGATCTTGACTTGCCTAATACAAATCATGGAACAGATAGAGAAATCTGAGGCCCAGACCTAAAAGATTGTAGCCCTGTTATGTAACAATACTGTTTTATCTAATATATAAAATTCTCGTGTCAGAATGTTCTTTCCCATACTCCTCCGAAACGGCTCGACCGATTCCTATGAAATTTTTTATGCATATTCAGTCTGAGAATCGGCTACTATCTCTCTTTCAAACCCGTAAATCTTAAGTGTGGTCCACCCTAAATTTTTATTTTTTAGATATAAATTTTTTTTTTAATTTTTTTATGATACCTACAGCATACAATAATACATACTTACCTTAATTTTCACCCCTCTACGATCTACCCCTATTTTTCATGTGTTTGAAAACGAAGTTCGCGGGGGCAGCTAGTTTATATATAATATACAATTTCCAATGGGTATAGAAAGGAGGCTAAAGTTATTAAATCAGAACCTATGAATTATTAATGAAAGCGCTAACATGAGAATATCACTTAGAAAATTAAGAACAGTTTTATTCCATGTTTATAAATTGCACCGACGCGGTTCAATATTTTTTGACTTTGATTGTTGGACGGTGAGAAATTGTTTTTATATTCTGTAAAAACAAGAAACTCTCAAATACATGCGCATACATACCCATTCACAAATACTTAATGTATTATAAGACTTGTGTTTGATTAGTTGTAACCTACTTTTTCCCTAAAAACTGTTTTAAACATACCATGTACCACTGTCTAATTGTTATCTAGCTACCCACAACATAGGGACTACCTAGTGTGGGGATTAGCGATAAATGAATTTTGTCACAACCTATTACTCATGAATAAAGTTTTTATTATTTAAAAAATCAACAAGCTACTTTAGTGGCTAGTAAACAGACTACCCGGTCAGTTATTAGATAGCCTAACGTTAAGCAATATAATATGTAAGTTACATTAATAGACACCAATGATTTTTAAATGTAACATTCGTTTAAAGAATTGTTTTTTTTTCATAATAATACCCATACATGACGAATTTATTCGAAACATCCAGATGATTTAGACTATATTTCTTTATAAATTAATTTAAAAAAATGTACTCAAAAGTTAGAAATTTCAAGGTGTGAGTCAGTCATCTTATATTTTTCTTAAAGCAAGATTGAGGAAGCCTCTGTGCGCGTAACACAAAGATACTATGATTTATGACTTTTTAATATCATTTTATAGAAGAAAACGATCCAATAATACTGTTAATTGACTACTTAGTAACTTCTTACCTAGACCGGTTTGATGACTCAAATGATTCCAGAAAAAAGTGCTCACTAAGTAAAAAATTATATTTTCCTTTTTACAGCTTTTTTCTCTAATCAAACTCAGGGAAGTTAATTCAAACCGTACGATTGGAAAATGATGCAACTAAAATTTGGAAAGTGCCAAAAACAGAGAACAAGGAACAGATGAGTTTGTAAATTACGATGACAACGATGTGATTGATTAAAGAATTTAGTTCAAATATCTACATATTTAATTAATAAATAAAATGTATTTTTGCATATTAAATAGTAATTTTAACATATTTTTATATAAATTTATCTTTTTCTTCGATTCCTATATTTTTTTAATAATAAAACCTTTAAAAAAACTCCTAGTCAGCCAGTCGTAATAAATTGGTGTAATAAAACCTTTTTGAACTTCTTAACATTCACAAATATTTTGAATTTCGAACGCGATCTTTGAACTGGATGGCGCGTAACTTAAAAAGCTCCCGAGGGATGTCAGCGCGTCCCGTAGCTCTTTGGCAACTGCTCGTAAATCCTAGACAGCTCCTGAGTCCCGACTAGGGCACCCCGCCCCGCGTCGCTCGGGCAACGGCATTGAGCTATGAAACTCGGCTACAAATTGGATGCGGTTTCTGTTCGATTAATTAGAGGGAAATACATTTAATAACACTGAGGCGATATCGTTAAAGCTGTGTGTATAAAGTTGCAGAAATACAAAAGCAGAAGATGCGAAATAAAAAGTTGGAGATTCAGATATCGAAACTACGAAACTTTAAAGCTTATTACAAAAGAAGATAAATAAGCGCAAACCTCAACCTTTATATATTGTTAAGCTCTTCGAATACTATAAATAAAAATGCATATTTATTATGAAATAATTACAGTTCTACATCTTCTAACTACGAAATCCTAATTCAGTATAAACGGGCTAATCGTAATAGTACATATATATATAGATAAGTTAAACGTTTATAAACTCGAAACATCCTCCTTCTATTGATTCCATATAAGCACATGAAATCATATTTGAATAGATAATTAATCCGAAACAGTATTATTATAATTTATGGAACGATTTACTTAAGTAGCTGACAAGATGTTAGTAACAATATCACTCACAAATTTATAAGCTTGCTTTAGTGTATAAATTGAAAAACTACAGGACAAATTTGATATTTTTTCATTTGCTTCGATTTATAGCAGTCCTAACAATTATAAGGGTTTAGAGTGTTTTATTTGAGACTCTGTTTTTTATACAGAACTGTACTGACGTTTGACCACAATCCCACCTAATGGTAAGTGAGATGTGGCCTATTTGAAGGTACGCCTGTCCAGGAGATGCCTGTTTAAGCTGCGCTTAAATGAACCCATATTAAACTGTCTGGGGAAGATGGAAGGGGCAAGGAGTTCCACTCCTTTGCTGTTTTTATAAGGAGCGACGTACCAAATCGTGCGTGCGGCACCTGGGGATGTCGACAACGAAGGGGTGAAACTCCAGCGTGCTTCTAGGTACACAGGTAATAATTAGGCAGCTGTTATAGCCTTATAGGTAGTCAGTAATATTTAGTTTGAATTTACTCGACGAAGGAAGTAATAAGTGTCAATATAACGGGTACATATAGATATCTTTTGAATTTTGATATAAAAGAAATATGTTTAACTAACGCTAATAAATAGGTTCGCAAAAAAATATTATAACTTCTGTGAAGAATTTGAAAGTTGTTTGTAAGGCAGTGTTAATAGAATTTTGAAGCAGTTATTTTCTACGTAGGCAACTAGTTTTATATATAAAACTTGAGTTGCCTCGAGCAAGGGATAAAATCGACTTCTTTGTTTTGCGATTTTCCTTTATCTAACAAATTACATTTTAACCTTGTCTTTTTAATAATACATTTATTTTCAAGAAGGTAGAGATTATGCCTATTCAGGGTTCTAATGCCAATGCCGCTTATGTACCGAGTGCGTTTACAGCCCTTTTAGATATTTTTCAATATCGACACATAAATTCGAAAATACCAGGAACTAATAAGTGATGTAAGGGTTTCATATCTGTACCACAAAGAACGGTTCAGTAGCCGTTGATACACAACTTTAACTTAAATAAACCCTGAGTACAAACCTCGTTTCGATATATTCTTAACATGAAATTGTCAGTCCTAAGGATGTGAAGGTAATTAGTATGGGAACAATATCTTTAGATTGATAATATACTACTAAAGCTGGCTAAGCTTAAAAATAGTTTACAAACACTCATTAATTGTTATAAAATTAAGGACGTAACTAATAATGAATATAATTGGCAAACAAGTTATCAAAACCAAAGCGAAACATGAAAGTAAGTCAATCCAAACATAAAAATATGTATTGCGAACATCATCATTATACTTGTTTTCTCTTAATCACTTCTGTTACCTTAGTAATTGAAATAATTTGCAATTTCTTTGACGTGAGTCAGATGTCACTTAAAGGGACCAATTCGTACAATTGTCGTAAAGCCCTTTTGACACTCTTTGTTAGGATCGTAAAGTTGTGTTGAGGAATCGGAATAGCGAATATAAAATAATTTGTTATATAAAAAACAGTGAATTCGTTATTTTATTTCTTAATAATTACTAAATTTTAAGCTATTACAATATATATTTTTGTTAATGTATAATTGTTGTTTATCAAATATGAAAATTATATTAAATTAAAGTTAGTAGGTAGCGTCAGTGGAGAGAGATGCCAATTTTTTATCTACCTCATAATAAGTTACATAAGTTTAATATTTAATATGTCAATAAAATAAAGATTTTAGTTTTTTACATTAAAAATCTATTAGATTCTGAAATATTGGATTTGATTTGATGATTATAACCAACCTACCGACTTACGTGCAACACTGAACTTGTGATGTACATAAATAATACGCTATTTTTTTATCTATTAAATCTTCTTTTATACAATCATGATTTATACTAGGAAACACCCTCTAAAATATTTTTTGAAGTGAAACTTCTTTATCGGGGTTGGAAAAAAATTTAGTGTAACATTTTTGCGTTACGCGTCACATTATTCCGTTACGCGCCATGTTGCTTTTTGAAGTCAAACTTCTTTATCGGCGTTAAAATATGACCCTAGTATGTTTTTGACTTTGAAGTTTGACAACGGATTACATTTTCGAAGTCAAACTTCTTTATCGGCGTTAAAATATGACATATAGTATGTTTTTGACTTTGAAGTTTGACAACGGATTACATTTTCGACTTGAAATTTACTAATCGCAATTTGCAGCAATTAATTTGTAAATTGTATGCTAGGCAGTGTATCAAAATTTACTGTGTTTAAAGAAATAGTTTCGGACCTCTAAACTTAAAACAAACCAATTATGGCTCTGCGTACAACAAAGGTTTTATATAAGTTTCACTTCTTACGTGTGTACACCTAGTACACGCACACATTTTTTTTTATGTAACGGGTAGGAGGCTCACCTGATGTTAAGTGATACCGCCGCCACTCACATTGCCAGAAAGCTCGCAAATGCCGGCCTCTTAAGAATTAGTACGCTCTTTTCTTGAAGGACCCTAAGTGGAATTGGTTCGGAATACTTCAGTGGGTAGCTGGTACCACATAGTGGTGGTGCGCGGCAAAAACTGCCTTAAGAAACGCTCAGTTAGTATCCAACTTCAAAGATCTACAAAGTACAAGTAACGTGTACTAATAAAAGTAAAATTTAAAGCAAGTTTTTTGAAGTACAAGACTTTTGAGGAACTTTACCGAAGATGTTGCTCGTGTGTGAAACTTTTCTCGCTTCAAAATTAATAAAGCACATCAAATGAGCAAACTACGAGTTTTACATTTAAGACGCAAGTTAAAATATAAAGATAATGTAAAAGAACTCAATAAATCTAATAATCAACCAAAATCCTTTTATTTTACTTCCGCTTGCGCGACCCAAAAAAAAGAGAATTGGTCATTGCCTTCTGAAAGCCAGCAATTGGCAGAAAGTAGGACAGGACAGGAAGCGCTGGAAGATTCTCAATTCGGAGGCCAAGTTTTATTGTAATTATTTAATTACAAACAGTATACACAGTAACAGGTAGCATACTTTCTGTTGCAATTTTTATTTATTTTTAAAGCAAAGTTAATGTTATTTTAAGGGGTTTACTTACCGTAAATCCAATACCGACGGTCGCTGAGAAATTCCCAGGTTGAAATTTACCAGTTTCAAACTGAACGAGCAGAGAGGTTTTGCCGACACCGCTGTCACCGAGCAAGATTGTCTGAAAATAGAAGTATGTGAGCAATTTTCGAAATTTTATAGTAGGTATCCCATGGTTAATTTATTGAGATTTTTTATAGTGGAATGATACAAGCTATTTATCAAAATATATAATTACCTAATAGATATAGTAAATCAAGAATACTACTAGTATCCTATAATAAAACAATAATACTCAAAAACTAAAAATAGTTTAATTTTTTTAAGCTATTTCCAACCCTAACGCTCGATGCGTTCAAACCCCAGCTGGGCGTCAATGATTTTTCATTATATCTGTGTAATAAACACTTACTCGAACTGACAAGCAATTTGTCAAATGTCAGAAGAAAGAAACGCTATCTGAAGTCAGGAAGATAAATAAAAAAATCAGTGGCGCTAAAACTTTTTAGGTCTGTGCCACAGATATCTGTTTCATGATCGGTCAATCTAATAGGAAGTAGGTGATCAGCCTCCTGTTCCTGACACACGCCGTCGTTTTTCGGGTCTAAGGCAAGCAGGTTTCCTGACGATGTTTTCCTGCACCGTTCGAGCGAACCTACGACCTCAAGGATGAGATTCGCACGTTAAAGCTACTACACAACACTGCTTTACCTAACATTACAAGTATTTTGGATAGATTTTTCAATATAAAATCAATAACAAAATTGAAAACCGGGAAAGGTTGAAATAGGTTTATGAGCTGTCGTGTCTAGATTTCTTCATGAATAATAATTGCTTCTTCTGAAGGTAAGTGATTCACTTCAATTTAATCTAACAAAGGAGACGAGCTATTCGAGGTGCTGACAAAACCTTAATAAATTGAACTTATCACACTTACGTATGAAAGAAAGGTAAAAAACAGGTATTTTAATAATGATGGATACCAAAATACCTACCTACTATTTGCTAAATTTTAGTGATTTGAATTGGAGTGACAGCATTTTTATATAAATAAATAAATACTAAAAACCTAATGAATCTTAAATTTACCTAGATCGTAACACATTTATTAAACAGTACTTACTTAATGTACCTTATGTATGGGAATGTCATCGTCGTGAGGCGCGCGCGCAGGTGAATCGACAGGCCGGTAGTCTCTGTAGCCAGTGGGTGAGGGCGTGGTCCGTAGGGTCGGCGCACGCAACTCGTCTTCGAACACATCGTCGCTCATGCTGTCGTCAGTTCCCATTTGCTATAAAAAAATTATAAATTAAATTGAAAGCTTCGTCTGATCACGATGCCAGAAAACAAATTAACAAGTTAACAACAAAGCACTCTAATCTTGAGGTCGTAGGTTTAATCCCCGGATGTGCGCTTAAGGTTCTATGTGCGCATTTAACATTCGCTCGAACGGGTGAAGGAAAACATCGTGAGGAAACCGGCTTGCCTAAGACCCAAAATTCAACGGTGTGTGTCAGGCATAGGAGGCTGATCACCTTCTTGCCTAATACAAGAATCTGATACCCAGACCTCAAATGGTTGTAGTGCCACTAGTGTTTTTTTATTATTATTATATAAAGACAGAGACTAAGTACGTTGAATAAGAATAACTAAAAAGAACCAGACGCTGAGTAGGTACGTACATTCACTAAAAAAATGGAAATAATATTTTCAGCAATCTATCAAAGAAAACTTTTTGATTGAGTTTAAATAACTACGAAGTTTTTTAATCAACATATTGGGTATTCAAAACACCTTGATAAAGTCAAAAATGTCGCCTCGATGTATCTATCTATCTACAGTGATTCTTCATAATAAATAATCTATTTCGTGTGCAATTATTTAAAAAAAAAATTACTTAATAAAGTCCGCGTTACGTTCATCCGTTAGCTGACGATGATATCTCGTGTTTAAAAGGTTTCTTTGAAGTTTGAAGCAGCTTACATTTCTTTTAGGTAATCATACAATTTTCTTTCATAAAATATAAATGAAGGCTTTGAAAAATTTAGTCATGATCTATTTTTATATAATTGCGTAGTATCTTAACCGTCTTTTACAAATGATAAACCTAAACTGTAGATTAAATTACCGGTGCAATATAATAAGTTTTTCGAAAGGCACAGACTATAAAGAAAAAACTAACGCGCCAAAAGAAGTAAAACTTCAAAAATAGTGCTACAGATACAAAAATGTTTCCACTTATGTCTCACTATTGCAGAACATTTTCGTCTTTACCCAGAGTCACCACAGTTATATGAATTTTTATAGTCTTATTATAAACTGTATATGACTACTTTTTGAGTGTTTGTCAATTCTTTAGCCCCTACCTTGTGATAAGGTCCTGGTTCTCCTAAAAGCAACATACTTACTAAATTGTTTTTTTTATTATAGAACGGGGGCAAACGGGCAGGAGGCTCACATGATGTTAAGTGATACCGCCGCCCATAGACACTCAATATCAAAGGGCTCGCGAGTGCGTTGCCGGCCTTTTAAGAATTGGTACTCTCTTGAAGGACCCTAAGTCGAATTGTTTCGGAAATACTTCAGAGGGCAGCTGATTCCACATACCTAGTGGTGGTCCACGGCAGAAATTGCGTTAGGAAACGCGCAGTTGTGGAAGATTAAATTATGTCAAGTCTAAGTATATATACTTGACAGAATTTTATAATAATCTATCATAATATAATGTATCATTTGTCACTATACGTTGTATGAGCACTCGGTTTTATAATCAAGTTATATAAATGAGCTTATGCCTTCGTCAAACATAGTCCGAGATCAAAGGATGCTATACAGAGACAAATTGCAATATTGGTGACGAGTTTGGTTTTGAAAAACGTGTCTTATTTGCTTCGTATAGGTACGATTATGGCGTGCACAGTTTATTCAATAAACCCCTTGTTTTGTCTCGTAAATCCATCAATAACGTTTTGAATCTACTGACAACCACAACTACTGTGTAATCAAGTTTTCAGGGTATGTTCAATGCGTTTCGCGGGCTAAGAGTCCGGGATTCAGTGAAACGGACACAGATGAGTGAATGTCTACCAGAGTGGAAATTGCCAATTCTACAAATCTTGAAAATACCCGTCCATTTTCAATCTATTGACACTTGTAATATATTTATAATAAGTAGTGTCAACAAAAAAATAGGGAAACTGAAGCCAACCGTATTTCTTCCTGTGTGGCATCCATTTCTATTATTATGTTTCATATTCTGTGATTCGTGTACTCGTTAGGCGATCGAACCCGAATCGTCTACACAGTCAACAAAAATCTTTTTAAATTTTGTTTTTGAAGTCTCTCATTTTATTTTTTCTTTCATTATTGTTATTTTATGTGTTTATGTGTGTGTGTTTTTGCTAGTAATAACTGTAATGTCTGTCTGTCTGTCTGTCAAACGGCAGTTATAGGAACGAGAGTCAAAGATTACTTTATATTAATTACTTTTGATAATAATAATGACATGTCATTATTAGGCTTGACCTACACTATGATGTCATTCTCGGTCCGATCAAATATGTCTACACTACTAGTCTTGGTAGCCTTTTCGGCGGCCTTGGTGGCCTTGCCAACCACAGTTTGTCTCATGTCACGGGCAGCAAACCGTCCATGGGGTGGGAATTCCTGGAAGGACTCCACACAGATGGAAGGAACAAAGTTTATTCGTATAAACTTAAAATGTTTAGTATGGTCATGCTCACGCCTTTGTGTCTAAAAATTCTGATACGAAATTCAGTTTCCTAGATCTGAATCAGTATCAATTACATACGTGATTATACAATCTTGGAACTACTATTACCCCGATATGTCTAAATGTAATTAAAACCTTACGAAGCATAACGCCATCCCTCACGAGTGGGGTATTATGTAAATATAACCCGACCCTACGTGACGGAGTCGCTCAAACGATAGCAATGTTTATTTAACTTGCGTAAATTGAAAATTGCCCCAAATACATCTGGTTACAAACGATTCCTTTGCCTATTGAGGCATCAATATGCAAAGATGACAGTGAGTGCCCAATACATATAATTAATATTGTTTAATTTATTTAATATAGAGTGTTGTAGTTTCATAAAACTAGAACTAAGAAACAAACGGGCAGGAGGCTCACCTGATGTTAAGTGATACCGCCGCCCATGGACACTCGAACTGCAAGACGACTCGCAAGCGCGCTGCCGGGTTTCAAAGAATTGGTACATTCTTTTCTTGAAGCACCCTAAGTGAAATTGGTTCGGAAATACTTCAGTGAGAAACTGGTTTCACATAGTTATAATAGTTTTTAATTGATCTCAATTTATCATCCTACTACGAATTAATTGTAGGCAAAGAGCGTACCTCAGAAAAGGCAAAGTGGCAGGAAGAAGGAGACCTGGCAGCAGCAGCTGACCGCAGGTTGAAGAATCTTAGACAATGGTTTGGTCAAAGCACGTCATTGTTCAGAAGCGCGACATCCAAACTTAAAGTAGTGATGGTGATCGCCAACCTTCGAAAGGAGATGGCACTATAAGTAGAAGAGAGAATATCAATTCTTACAATATCCTATTAAGAGCGCGCATTAGGCTAGCAAAATTCATGATTTTACTTGCGTGTCTCCCTCCGCCCGCTCCAGTGACTTAATGAAACAAACGTATGCCCGACGTTCTCGTGAGATGAGACGGACGATACAGTGTTTCGCGGAACAAATATGAAGTAACCGCCAAGTGCTTTTTATTTAAATACAATACCACATAAAATCGCTAGTATCAGCTATCGGCCAAACTAAAGTGCTGTAATTCAATTATATTCTTCTATTAGGTGACTGAGTTTTTTTTGTATCGAGGATTTTTTATTGAAACGTTATAGTGAAGGAACAATACATATTTATTGTTTTTAAGTCAAGCATCACATACATAGATAAAATCAAATCTATGATGAGTGATTTTGGTTAGTGCCTGCTCTTAACGTGTAAATTTCAGCCTAAAATCTCGCGAGAACGCGGAAGCTGTATTTTAATATCGAAGGCTTGAGTACAAGAAATAGGTTGTTGCTTTATTAAAAGCTTTCAGCTTTGTATCACTTTGAGATTTATCCTTTGATGTCGATTTATCAAGAATATTAGCTAGGTATATTAAAGTTATTAAATCCCGGCTTCTACGAAAATCCATATGAAGGCTTTTAACGGGAAGCAGCGAGGTACGGAAATCTCATAAAGGTAACTCCCGAAATTGGTTTGGGTTTTTGATTTCAATTCAATCTTTATATAAAAATCTAAATTAACATATTTGGTACTACGCTTACATGTGGTATCAAAGTTAGGAGTCAGTAATTTGTTATTTTTGCACGCTATTCTTAATGGGCGGATAGATAGCCCAAATTTGCTGTCGTTAATTTCTCTAAGAATCTCTCCACCGAATGCGACAAGATATTCACAGTAGTTCCATGTGCATCTTCGTAATTCGCCAATGTTTCGTGTTTTAGCTAACTAATACAATTTATGAAGATGCAGACATTTTCCACATTACCAAAGGAAAGGAAATATTTTAAGAAGCGGGAAGACGTTATTTAGCAATAGTAACAATTTCTTTAAAATATAAAGTTGTCGTTTGATTAATGTTTAATTTCAGATTATTTTTTTATCTATTAATGTAATATTAATTGACTTATTTTATCTGTTTCGTATATTTTGTTAAATGTAATCTGTTTTGCGTTTGTAGGTATATTGTCTAAGTGTTTTCTTTTATATCTATGTGTAACTGTAAGTTAACTTATAAGTAAAAAAAAATAGTAATTTAAACATATTAACATTGTATTTGTATGCCATATTGGCAATTATTGCAGTCTTTTTTTATATTATAACATACATGTACCAACATTTTATTTATTATTTAAAAATTCAATTAGAAACAATTTAAAATACAGTACAAAAGTACTGTATTTTTTTGTATTTAAATTAATTTCAATTGCTATAAGCGCCATCTATAGAGAAAGTGATAAAACAAATCAACTGACATGTTCTTTTTACAATCTGAATATTGGTTACGTATATTGTACTTTTTATTGCATATTATAAAAACATTAACTAACTTACGGGTTCCTAAAATTGAGAATGAACGGTGTCTATTTTCAGTAATAAAACTAAAGCCTTCAAAACAATTTCAATGATAGGTACCTAATCCTATTTTATCAAAAAAAAAAATAAAAAAAAAAAAAAAAAAAAAAAAAAAAAAAAAAAAAAAAAAAAAAAAAATAAAATTAAAAAAAAAA